TGGCATAAAAGGTGGCAGGTGAAATGCATTCCCTCAAGGAAGACTAGGCTTTAAATTTTCCACAGATTCATGCGTATTGGCCCTGATACAACACAGATTTTTTTCTTTTAGCTTCATATTATTATTATTATTTTATTTTTCGGCTGCTGCTTTCTTCAGGGGTCGTCACAGTGAACTAATTTGCATGAAGGCTTGACAATTGTTTTTATGTCGGATGTCCTTCCTGACACAACCAAAGACCACCGAGCTACCACAGCCCTCTGTGTGGAGCAGAGCTGCTATCTAGGGCGCCTGGGGGAGTAGATGGTCAGGGTTAAGGGCCTTGCACAAGGGCCCAGAGTGGGACAAATGAGGGTGGAGGCAGGTGTGGGTGCTTCACCTATCCCACCCACATTTTAATGTTGTTGGTACGGGGAGTTGAACTGGCGACCTTCCAATCACAAGCCCATCTTCTCTAACCTCTGCACCACCACTCCCACTTTTAGTTTTATACTAATAAATCAAAAATGAAATAACAGGGAAGCACCAGACGGAGCTACTTGAGCTATAATCTTGGACAGGTGCAGACAAATTCTTACACCCCCATTGTACTGGTCTGGGTGTTTGATAAATGATTAGAGGCACTCGATGACTAACGGCCCGTAGAAGTCAGGTATCTGTACTGACAGGATCTGTCACTGTACAGGTCATGACATGTCAGGTGATTATTTTTAAGCAGGCTGCAATGCTTCTGTAAAGGTAATCCTGCAAAACACGATGAGCATTTGGCACTTTAAAGAGGCCAGTCTTTTATTTTGAAGGATTAGTTCAAGCTGACACGAGGAGCAGCTGCTGAAGTATATTGAAGCAAATTATTAAATCCCCTGACCCTGACTGCTGACCTTTGACTTCCTGGTGGTGATAAAAGTTTGGAGTAGGCTATCATAAGAAACTTTGAGTAAACTCAACATGTCTGAAGGAACAGACAAGCAAAAACAGAAGGTACTGCAACTTTACTTGTAAGCCACTAATCACAATCTCATGTGATATTGCAAAATGTCACGCTCACAGTGTCTGCTGAGAAGACCCTCAGCTACTAACACATCAAAATTTGGCTCAAAATTTCATTTTTGTGTTATTTAAGGTGAGTTCATTTTGAAAGACGTCTTGAATTAGGCTGATCCTGAATGGTATCCAGACATACAGTGGTGCTTGAAAGTTTGTGAACCTTTTATCATTTTCTACATTTCTGCATAAGTATGACCAAAAACATAATCCAATTTTCACACAAGTCCTAAAAGTAGATAAAGAAAACCCATTTAAACAAATGAGACAAAAATATTATACCTGGTCATTTATTTATTGATGAAAATGATCCAATATCACATATTAGTGGTAAAAGTACGTGAACCTCTAGGATTATCAGTTAGTTTGAAGGTGAAATTAGAGTCAGGTGTTTTCAATCAGTGGATGATGATCAGGTGTGAGTGGACACCCTGTTTGATTTAAAGAACAGGATCTATCAAAGTGTGATCTTCACAACATGTTTGTGGAAGTGGATCATGGAGGAACAAAGGCGATTTCTGAGGAGCTCAGAAAAAGAGTTGTTGATGCTCATCAGGCTGGAAAAGGTTACGAAACATCTGTAAAGAGTTTGGACTCCACCAATCCACAGTCAGACAGATTGTGGACAAATGAAGGAAATCCAAGGGCATTGTTACCCTCCCCAGGAGTGATGGACCAACAAAGATCACTCCAAGAGCAAGATGTGGAATAGTGGGCGAAGTCACAAAGGACTCCAGGGTAATTTCTAAGCAACTGAAGGTCTCTCACATTAATGCTAATGTTCATGAGTCCACCATCAGGAGAACACTGAACAACAATGGTGTGCATGGCAGGGTTGAAGGAGGAAGACACTGCTTTCCAAAAATAACATTGATGCTCATCTGCAGTTTGATAAAGATCACACGGACAAGCCAGAAGATTATTAGAAGAATGTCTTGTGGACGGATGAGACCAGAATAGAACTTTTTGGTTTAAATGAGAAGAGTTATATTTGGAGAAAGGAAAACTCTGCATTCCTGCATAACAACCTTATCCCATCTGTGAAACATGGTGGTGGTAGTATCATGGTTTGGGCCTCTTTTTCTGCATCTGGTCCAGGACAGCTCGCCATCATCGATGGAACAATGAATTCTGAATTACGTCAGAGAATTCTAAAGGAAAATGTCAGAACATCTGTCCATGAAGTGAATCTCAAGAGAAGGTGGGTCATGCAGCGAGAAATGACCCTCAGCACACAAGATGTTCTACCAAAGAATGGTTCAAGAAGAATAAAGTTCATGTTTTGGAATGGCCAAGTCAAAGTCCTGATCCAATCCAGATGTTGTGGAAGGACCTGAAGCAGCAGTTAATGTGAAGAAAGAGTTGAAGCTGTTCTGTATAAAGGAATGGACTAATATTTATCCAAGATGTGCAGGACTGATTGATTGATTGATTGATTTGATTGATTTTTATTGTCAATTCTGCATATGTACAGGACATACATAGAAATTGAAATTGCGTTACACTCCTACTCAATTTGCAGCAAACAACAACATTAGCAAAAATAAACTAACACAACTAGTTATATAAAAAAATATAAAAAATATAAAAGTGAACAGCAGCAGGACCTCTGATTCAACGTGCTCAATAGTGACTAACAGGAGACAAAGGGACGCTGACTGAAGACAATAACATGATGAGAGGTAGATAATGGATGTGCAAGGCCAGAGTAAACAATAGTGCAATATAAAGTATAAACCTGAGAAACTTAGTAAAGTGAAGGTGTGCATACCGGTTCTATATAGAGTCACAGTTATGAACTGATGAGGTGATTAAGTGGAAATGACAATACCAGAATTACCAGAATAAAGAATAAACAGGACGAGTTGATCATAACAGTAGTGCAAAATATAATGCAATAAACAGTAGAGTGAGCTTGTAGGCTGTTAAAGTGACCGATTCATGAACTATTCATAAAACTAAATAAATGTCCCAGAGCAGTTTTGAAGGGGGGGGGGGGG